GGAGTTACAAAATATAAATTATGTTTGGAGTTACAAAATATAAATTATGTTTGGAGTTACAAAATATAAATTCTGTTCTTGCATGTTTTTAAAACTCCAGTGTTAATAGTAGACAGTGGCATTAAGCTTTGCAAGAACTATATTGATTTCTGTCAGTAATGTATTGTCTTTTCTGATATTTCAGTGAAATAGTTTTTATCAGTAGTATGTCTGACAGCATGGAAGAGGAAGTACAAAAAGAACCAGGGAACAAGAAAAGACAAAGTACACATCTGAAGAGGGCTTTAGAAAAGAGTAATGATTGGCTGTCTGCTGATAATGAATCCGTAAGTTTACTAAATTGTATACTGTTTTATTGAATCGAAGTTGTGGTTATTCAGTTTTTTTCCTAAAACTAGTTGTGATTTTTACTTTAAATACACAAATTTCACTCAGTTATTTAGATCTGAATACAATTCGAGGAGGAGAAGACACTAATTGGCTTTGCTTGGAATGGTTATTGTTGAGTTGAAAGTAAAAACTTGTTGCCGTTGTGGTAAAATCTATTATTTACAAGGTTAATCGCTACCACTGTTTTATTTGTATTTATGAAGTTTTAGAATAAGCTATCTTACCAACAGAATTATATTGGAGGAGAGAAGTTAGGGTCATAGCACAGCATACATAGGTTGTTTTTTTGTTAGAAGTAGCAAGTACTGTCCCGAAACTCAAACGGTTGACCACAACCATTACGCACTTTGATTCATTGAACAATTAATGGTATAGATAATCTTTTTTTGTGTGGTGTTTTTTCCATTAATGCATTAATAATAACTACTTTAAATGAGTTTTAATTACACTAAGGAATGATACTAAGCACAGTTACTAGAAGTTTTATGATATTGTTCACTTTTCAAAGAACTGTTCGGTTGTTTTATTAATAAGAGAACAGTTTACTAATGTTATGATGTTAGTGTTTGGTATTTAGCTTGTGTGGATATTTTGCCAGGTGTTTAATTTGGCTGGATATTAGTATGTAGTTAAAATTTTTGTATAATTTACCAGGAAATGTTATAACCTAAAACTTACTATAGGTGCTAAGTACTAGAAAGTTGTAAATAAACAAGGTTAATTTATGACTGACTGTTGATATAGAACTGTAATAAGAGTGAGTTAGGTTTTGTTTAGTAAAAATTAATAACATGTATTTCGAGTTTGTGTGCATAAATCCATATAATATTCTTATTTTTGTCCTTCTTTATGTTAAACAAATCTTATTAAATTGAATTATGTAATTTTGATATAGTATATAGATATTAAGCTTTTCTAAGCAATCTTCTTAACCTCTATTAGTCTAATTTTACAAAATAGTTATCAGCAACCCTAATTTTTTCAAAGAACTTTCTTACTAACATATTTATTAATTAGTTGCCAGTAGAAACATTTTGTAAGCTTCAGTATTTTTGTTTAATATTCTATACATTTACGTTAATTTGTCACTTACGTATTGAAGGCACACAGCAATGTTGACTTAGTCACTACGAATTGTTTTAAACTTAAACATCCTTCTTCACTACTTAAAGTTATAGAGTTTGATATTATAATATATAAAAGTAGCTCTGTATTATTGTTTGATATTCTTTACATTTACGTTGTCACATTAAGCTTGTCACTTACGTATTGAAGGCACACAGCAATGTTGACTTAGTCACTACGAATTGTTTTAAACTTAAATATCCTTCTTCACTACTTAAAGTTATAGAGTTTGATATTATAATATATAAAAGTAGCTCTGTATTATTGTTTGATATTCTTTACATTTACGTTAATTTGTCACATTAAGCTTGTCACTTACGTATTGAAGGCACACAGCAATGTTCACTTAGTCACTACGAATTGTTTTAAACTTAAACATCCTTCTTGACTACTTAAAGTTATAGAGTTTGAGATTATAATACATAAAAGTAGCTCTGTATTTTGTGCAAGCAACCAGTTTCTTTTTGACACTTAAATATTACTATATTCTGAAAATATGATCATTATACACATTATTGATAGGAATCTTCTTGCTATCTCAGATAGTATTGTAAATGTCTTTGTTCAGTTTCCAGCACAATAACCGAATGGATAGGGATGGTTCATTGGACTGATGCTGCATTGGTGAAGGAATGTTGACCATAATTTGATGGTTCATTGGAATGATGCTGTATTGGAAAAGGAATGTTGACTATAATGCTGAATTTACTATGTGTATTCTACACAAAATATGGCAAGCTTGTTGTAAATGCACAAGTCTGGTGTACACAAAAAATCAGATGTGTTACGCAAGTATTCGTACTCAAGTTATGTCTGTGAATTGACAACATCAGAGAGCAAGGTGATGTTCATGTGAAGAATAAAAATACTTTTGTCCATTATACAGTTTGTATACTGTATTTTTATAACCTCTAAAACCTACACGTCTACATTTTATTTTTTGTATCCCTGTACACTGTATATGGTATTTCCTCTCCTCTACCATAAACTGTTGCTAAATCAACAATGTAGGGTAAAATGACTCTATTATAAGGTGATGTTTTTGATTAATAATTAGGTTGTAAAATTTATAGTCATCTTATAATTCCAGTCAACCACAGACCTCTTCCCCTTACTCTAGCCTGTTGCATTCCTGAATGTCCAGATAGCATTCGTCTATGCATGCATACCAGATTTTCATTAAAGGTCATCGCTAATTCTTGCAGTTAATCCACCTGCAGACTGTTCAGTTATAGTATTGATTTTGCTGGTGCATTATTGTTTTGACTGTGCTCATTCTTTATTTTATAATAATTGTTGTCTACAAGTCTCATTTTAGCGATTAACCATTGTGCAAGAAAGACATTGAAAGAAGGAACAAGAAAGTGTCAAGTTAACAAAGGATTATGATGGAAATCTTACAATTATGGTGGTGCGTGAGGCAGAAAGAGAACAGTTGTACTGCTGATAGAAAATTTTATGCAACTGAAAATAATGTGGGGATGTTGCCAGAAACAAAAGACTGAACTCCTTAATGTACATTCTACAAGAAAGGGATTTCACGGACCTTAAAATAAATGTTATGATACTCTTTTTTTTTTTTTCCATGGTTTCTGAAAATGGGGGGTCGCCTTATATTTAAGATTTCCCTATAATCTGTCCAGTATGTTAGTTTATAATTCTGACATCAAATACATAATACTATGTTAAATGTTTCAATTCCATATTTTGTGTGACCTGTTGTCTTGTTGTTAAGTATGACCAAGTATTTGATGTTAGAGGAAGACATTGACATTGATATCTTTTCAACAATTGCATTCTGGCAACTTTCATGTATATTTGGAACAATAGAAAAATAAGATTTGTTTGATAGGTCTTATTGTGGTTGTATTTTCTTCGTCTTACAAGTGAACACCCCAGAACTTGAGGTAACATTTTCACCTTCAACATCAGATACAGCAGTTCTTGAAATTTGTTGTAAAATGTTTGTACTTCTAGGCATGCTTATTTTTCATATGATTGTAAGTTTTCTTTTGTGGTATACAGATGCATACCTAGTATTTCTTACCTTCTTCAGTTAGTAAGATTAATGTTTCAGTTCACCTCAAACTCTCAAAAGTTTTCACATATTTGAACAGTTTTGGCAATAAAACACTTGTTACCTGTTGTTCTGGAACATTCCCCTATAGTATCACGTGCACATTACCTTGGGAAAAATTGCTGTAAGACAGAATACACCATGTATAGAGAAGCACGTAAGTCAGTATCTTGATATATCACATCTTATTTTCCTGTTGGATAACTGTCAGTGATGTGTTTGTAACACATGCACACTGGAAGAGATCACATTATAAATGTGTATCTATAATACTCATTGCTCACATCCTATTCTTCTGATAGAATGACAATAAGTGATGTATATATATGTGTGTGTGTGTGTAACGCATGCACACTGCAAGAGATCACATTATAGAAATGTGTATATACATCCAGTAAAGACACTGTGTTTTCTCCCATTTACTTGTACTTTTGATTATTTGAAAAAATAAAGATTATTACTTTTTCGCTGTTTACGTTGTGTTTGGTCTCTTTTTTTTCCAAACTCAGCCAGTGATAGAGAATTTAGACTTACTGTGTTATATATTTTCTGGTTGAGCTTCTGGATATGGATGCTGGAACTTGCTACTTTGTCACAGCCTGGGTCTCCACAGCCAGTCAAGGACTGCAGAGCCTATACTCAAGCTGCCGATGCCACATTCACATGCATAACACATGCTCCCATCAAGTTCAAGCTACAGCCAAGTTCAACTCTCCTTCACGTGTTATGAATTCATTTGTATTCAGATGTTTTAAGAACATTAGTTGTCTGTAAATGTCTATGTAGAATGTTCTTTAGAGAGGGAGATAAAGAAATAATGGTTTACTAGATCAGTAATATTGTTCAGAACCAATACCTCTTGCATTTGCTATTTTATAATTAATTTATATGCCACCCATGATAGAAACACATTGTATACGATACTTTACAGCTTGCAGTTCATTCTTTTCTGATGCATAGAAAAGAAAATACCGTGCTTGTTATTATTTTCTTTGTTTATTGTATTTTTCTAGCATCTTTAATTGTCGTAAATAATACGTTGAATTTTTGTCTTTCTTTTCAAGGGTATTCATCCTACCTCTAAAAAACCTGCATCGAGAACTCCTAAAAAAAGAATCAACATCAAAAAAGTGGTAGGAAAAGACAAAGAAGTTTCAAGTAATAAAGGTAAACTTAACTGTTTTATGTAGTTGTAACAAGTCATATTTGAGAAACTGAGTTTAGAGCATTAGCAGAAATTTTGAACAATTTTGTAAGCTTCTGATGTTTTACACACATCATATTTGTTTACATTGAGGGTATTGATAATAAATTGACAAACAATTTATAGCATAAGTAGCATAAAAGCCTGTCAAAAATGACTGGAAACCATTGTTGAACGATTAACTAAAAGGAATTTGTCTGTACCTCCAGAATAAACGTACTCCTCGCTTATTTCATCAGGCTCGAAGTAATTCCTTGATCATCACATTTTTATTAAAATAATAATAATATTTATTTCTTTTATGTTACTTATACTTAGATCATGCAGCTCAGTAAATTTAGAGAGGAAGTATTTAGTATAAATGAGCTTTCAGTGATTTGTACTTTGCAGTTATTATTACTTTTTATGTGGCCATTTTATTTAAAGAAATTTTGAACTTTTCAGAACCTAATGAAGATAACAGAGTAGTTAATACAAATCCTGTTCCTACTGTTACTGACAAACCTCAAACTTCTAATCAGAATGGGGGAGTTAAAAGTAACAAGTAAGTTCTAATTTCTTTACTAGTAAAATAAAGATGGTATGAAATTTGTAAACATGGGATCTTGAGTAGAAAAACTAAATGCTTTAATAATGCTAGACGTTATTTTAAAGCCCACTACCGCGTTACATAAACTCGTTTATCCTTAACTAGAGCAAGACACTTCTCTAAAGTTCACCTCTTCATTTCTCGAGCTAAGTACTGTGTGAAAAACTTGTCTTTGTATCTCTAAAGCTTGATACTCTTACGAGGTATACTATAGAAATACTATAGCAAGATTTGCTTTTAAATCACAAAAACTAGATAATCTTAAAATATAACAGTGTTAACTCTATCAGCACGGGCTCGGTTCCTGGGACAGACCTCGCAATCATTTTGTGCTTGTTATAGTTTTCATGCTATATTTTTTAAATCAGTAAGCGAATGTTAACGAAATTTGGCAGTTTATTAGTAAACATTACCATGCTTTCTTAGGCGAAATATCTAATTTTATTTATTAAGTCTTAAGGTTTGTAAAGCAATGTTTCTGTCATGTCTTTTTATTCTTTTCACATCTTGCCTATCTATCATGCAAAGTAATTATCATCTTAATATTAAAAATACTTTTATGCATCAGCATATTTTGAAATTTCACATGCGAAGTCTTTATAATGTCCAAATATTTATCAAACATTTCTTAAGAAAAAAACTATATTTTATCTGTAATTGTCAGTAATTAATCTCTGTACAGGTTCGGTATATTTGACCAATCTCACAACCACTATAAAAATTAAGAAATAAACATAAATTATGCATCTTTCATTCTAGAATAACACAAATTATAACACAAAAACCATAAATGTTTAGATGAAGTAGCTTAAATTTCATAACAT